GTGCTGCCTGAAAGTGTGGGGGTCAAAAGCCAGTCGTCAAAATACTCCTCTGGCATGGGCCTGTGTGGGAAGAGTGCATGGAACTCGTCCTTAAGCAAAGGTTCCTCCAGAGCATAATCTGGCACCCAACTGTTGGCGCTGGCCGGGGTACCTTCCCTGGCGAGGAGGTATTCCACTCCCTCCTCCCCCCATCTCGAGTCCAGAATTTCCGTGACCTCATTGAGTGTCGGGGTCCTCGGTGACTTCCCCCCCCCGGTGACTTCCTACGTGGGTCTGGTGCCGTCCCTGGCTCCTGAAATCTGTGTGGGGCCTTGTAGGGTGTAAGCACCGACCTATGAAAGACCGGGTGCATTCGGGAATCCTCTGGGAGGGTCAACCGAAAAGCTACGGGATTGATCCTGCCCTCAACTTGGTATGGCTCTAGCTGTTTGTGTCCTAGCTTCTTCTTAGCTAACGGCTTGGCCGGCACCGCCTGGGCTGCTAACCATACCCAGTCCCCCACCTGGATGTCTTCTCCTGCCCTCCTGTGCCTGTCTGCCTGCACTTTGTAGGCGTGTTTAGCCAGTTCCAAGTGCCGTCGTAGCTCCTCGTGGACCTCCTGCAATTCTGCTGCTAAATGTTCCGCTCCCTGCGACTCCCCTGCGTCGTCGTCTCCAACGCCGGGAATGTTCTGGGATGTCGCCCATTGTTGGCGAAGAACGGTGTCACCCCGTTGACGCGTGCTTCGTGTTGTTGTAGGCAAACTCGGCCATCGGTAAGTAGTCCACCCAAGTTGCCGGCTTCTGATTGGCGTAACAGCGCAGGTACTGCTGCATGATGGCGTTGACCCTCTCCGCTTGGCCGTTGGTTTGCGGGTGTCTCGCCGACGCTAAGTTGATCTTGACATTCAGGATGCCCAGGAGCTTCTGCCAGAAACTGGAAATGAATTGGCGACCCCGGTCGGACAAAATGGACCGTGGTAAGCCGTGCACCCGGAACACGTGGTCTATGAATAGCCTGGCGGTCTGCTCCGCTGTTGCCACCTTCGCGCAAGGAATGAAATGCGCCATCTTGGTGAACAGATCTACAACCACAAGCACCGCCGTCTTGCCCCGCGAACTGGGCAGATCAGTGACAAAGTCCAGCGCCACCCTTTCCCACGGCTGCAGTGGCGTCTCCAACGGTTCCAGCAATCCCGCTGGCTTCTTGTGCACTGGCTTGGACCTCTGACAAGTGTCACACCTGGCGACGTAATCCGCGACTTCTCCCCGCATCTGGGGCCACCAAAAGTCCCTGGCTACTAAGTCCGCCGTCTTCTCTTTGCCGAAGTGACCCGCGCTGGGGGCGTCGTGTAACTGCTGTAAAACCTTCGCTCGGAGATCGTCTCCCGGGACGTAGAGAGCACCTTTGCGGGTCAGCAGGCCATCGCGTATCTGGAATTCGCCGTCCTTTGCTGTCCCTCTTCGCACCTCCTCCATCTTGGATTGTGCAAACGGATCCGTCTGTAACGCGCGTCGTACCGCGTCCAGGTCCACGGCGGCAGAAGCGCACGCCCACGCTTGCGGTGCAAAAATGTGCCTGGCTGCCACTGGTGCTGCTTCCTCAAGATACTGCGGTTTCCTGGAGAGCGCATCCGCTATGACGTTGTTGTCTCCCGGGATATACTCTATCCGGAAATCGAAATCCGCAAAGAACTCCGCCCATCTCATGTGCCTCTGGCTCTGGAGCTTCGCCGTGCGCCAATACTCTAGGTTCTTGTGGTCCGTGCGGACCTGCACGGTGTGCTTGGCTCCGATGAGGAAGTGCCGCCACGCCTTGAAAGCCGCGTGGATGGCCAGCAACTCCCTGTCCCAGATGGTGTAGTTCTGTTCCGACTTGCTGAGCTTCCGGGAATAGAAAGCGCAGGGCCTCCAGTTCTCTTGCGAATCTTCCTGCAAGAGGACGGCCCCACTGCTCTGTCAGATGCGTCAGTCTCAACCCGCATGGGCCTGCCGGGATTCACGTGTAGCAGCTGGTCTTCGGACGCGAAGAGACTCTTAAGTCTCCTGAAGGACTGCTCCGCCTGGTCCGTCCAGGTGAACTTTTTCTTCTTGGAACTGAGGGTGTCCGTGATAGCTGCCGTCTCTTTCGCGAAACCCCTGATGAACTTGCGGTAAAAGTTGGCGAAGCCGACGAGACCTCTGGACCTCCTTCCGATTGCGCGGGCTATTCCAGTCCAACACCGCGCGGACCTTGGCGCTGTCCATGGCTAATCCCTTGTCGGACAGCCGGTAGCCCAGGAAATCCACCTCCGTCACGTCGAACTGGCACTTCTCCAGCTTGGCATAGAGTCTGTGCTCCCGTAGCCTCTGCAAGACCTCCTTTACGTCTCTTTCGTGAGTCTCCTGCGATTCTGAGAAGATCAGAATATCGTCGAGAAAGCATACGCACTTCTTGTAGAGGAGTCCTGCTAGCACGTGGTGCATGAATGCTTGGAAACAGTGAGAGCCATTTTGGAGACCAAACGGCATAACTCTGTATTCATAGGTGCCCAGCGGTGTGAACATGGCCGTCTTCCACTCGTCACCTTCCCTCATGCGTATCAGATTGTAGGCTCCGCGTAGATCCAACTTGGTGAAGATCCTCCCCTTCCTCACCGTCGCGAGCAGGTCGTCAATCTTGGGCATGGGGAAAGCCTTGGGTTTTGTCATCGAGTTTATGGCCCTATAGTCCACAATGAGCCGTTTTGGGGCGTGTCCTTCTTCTTCACGAAAAACACAGGACTGCCCCCACTGCCTTGGATTCTCGGATGAATCCCGCTTCAAATTGTGATCTATGAACTCCCTGAGCTCCTGCATCTCATCTTCAGACATGGAATACAGCTTCGCAGTCGGCAGCGTCGCCCCTGGTAAGAGGTCAATTGCACAGTCGTAGGGCCGGTGGGGTGGTAATTGGTCAGCTTCCTTCTCGCAGAAGACCTCCAAAAACCCCTTGTACTTGTGGGGCACTGCCTGCACCATGCCTAGATGCAGCTGTTGCCCTTCCTCCTGGCCCTCCTCGTCCTGGCCGATCTGGATGCAATGTTGTGCACAGTAGGACGAGCCAAAGGTGAGCTGCCGCTGGTACCACGCCAAGGATGGGCTGTGTCTATCCAGCCAACTCATGCCTAACACTATGGGCGTGTCTGACAGTTGGGTGACATTGAAACTGATGACCTCGCGATGATTCCCAATTTTCAGCAGCATGGGTGGCGTCTGTTGTACCACTTGCCCACCCAGCAACTTCCTGCCATCTACAGTGACCACATTCAGAGGCAGCGTGGCTGGTAGTAGCGCTATGCGATGCTGCTTGACGAACTGCACCCCCACGAAGTCTGCGTTGCTCCCTGAGTCAATCGTAATGGGGACTTCCAGGGTGAGTCCATTAGGCAGCTGGAGAGTAGCAGTGAGCTGCACCACTGGCTTAGGTGGTAAGGGGTCTGTAGGCTGCAAAAGCGCTGGGGACTGCTTCACTGACTTGCCTGGCGGAGCCCCAGCGTCTCTCCCTCCAACCAGGCATTCTCGTTTCCCTGAAACTGCTCCTCTTGGAAAGCTTCCCCTGTTACTGTTGCTAAGGCTGCAGTGTGCTTCTGGAGCCTCTGGGGACACTCTTTAGCCATGTGCCGTGCACTGTCACAGATGTAACACTTCCTGGTCCCTCTAGGAGGCTTCGCTTTGACTGCTCCTGACGCTGAGGCTCCGGCAGCTGTCTGAGCCTTTGCACCACCCAGTTCCATTGGTTCTTCCCCCGCTGCCAGCACAGGCGAAAGGCTTGAACGTTCCAAGTCCCTGGAAGGAAAAGGAGGCGCTCTAGCTGGTGGGCGGACGTGACGCCCCTCCTCCCTGTGCCAAGGGCGTTCTTCTTGGCGCACCCCTATCGTGAGTGCCCTCTGCACGACTTCTGCTAGGGTTTGAGGTCTGTCTCCCCTAGCCAGCTCATCTTTCACTGATCCATGAAGCCCTTCCCAAAACAAGTCCCTCACTGCCAGGGAGTCCTTTTCCCAGCCCAGCACATTCAGCAATGCAAAAAAGCGAGAATGGTACTGACGCACTGTAGCCTTGCCCTGCCGCAATCCATGCATCTCCTGGCATGCCACATCAACGTCAACAGTAGATTGGAAGCAAGCGTCCATGGCTTTGAGAAATTCATCAGAGTCCCTGCGTGCAAGACCATCTTCGCGCCACAAATTGCGTAACCAGTTTCTTGCTTCCCCATGCAGATGAGACACAATAAACCCCACTTTTTCCTCCTCATCTTTGAAGTCTTTTCGAAGCAAATGCAGTGCGTATACGACGTCTGCTCTGAAATTGGGATAATGCTTCAGGTTCCCATCGAAGTGGGCTACTAAATTGCCCCCCCTCCGTCCGAGTCCGATTCCCTCTGATCTGGACCCGGGAACCCCTCTCTGCACGCCCGATCCCACCTGGCTTGCAGATCCTGGCATCGCGCTTCTGCTTCAGCAACTGTCTTCTGAGAAACCACGACAGCAGTTGAGAGCTCGGTGACTGCGTTTTGCAGGGACGCTATCTGCTCCTCAGTAGTCATTGCTGCCAAACTTCGTGAGCTGTGCAAAAAAATTCTTGCGGTTTTTTGTTGAGAGGGGACTTACTGTCAAGGCTGCCTCAAGTCTTAGCTCACAAAAGACCAACGCCTATGTCTTCTTATATACAAAAGTGTTTATTGCAGTTCATGGTTTGCTTGACATCCTAGGCGTGCAGCCTTACGTCTCTTACGCTAGACCGCCGAAGTCCCCTCTGAGTCAGTTCCTCCCCTGCACCAATTTAAGAGACTTGCGCTGCTCCACCTCTTTCTCTCCTTCCTTTTCCGCAGGGTCCTTCTGCCCACTGGGGTTTCGCCCCTCCTGGATTCCTCTGACGCGGAATCAGACTGCTCTTCCCCCTCCTGCGGGCTTTGGGACCTGGCCCCTCCTCCGGGCTCCCTGCACTTCCGCGCGCCTCTACATTTGAACTAGGCGCGCGCGCCAAACCTCTAACTTTCCTTTTGACAGTTACACTACTCCCTTCACTGCTCCCCTCCCCTTCCGGGAGGGCGGCTTGCTCTGACCCCCCCTCCTTTCTCTGCTGCTGGAGCTGCTTCCTCTGACACACTGGAAACTCCACCCCCTTCGCTGCACTCTGGTGGGGAGGCTGGTCCTGACGCCCAGCTGCCACTTTGGGATCCTCCGCTGGCACCCTGCTCCTGACACTTCCCCCCTGGGGCTCCCCTGGCCTTGACCACCGGCGCCCCCTTCTGGGAATCCTCTGATTCGCTGGAAAGACTCATGGAATCTCTTGAGTCATTGTCATCCTCTTCCTCGCTGGCTTGGAATTCCTCCCCATCGCTCTCCATCTCCTGCCTACCCTGTGCCTCTCTCCCTGAACCCCTGACAACATGTTTCTAAGAACATTTGTATCTTCACTTGAAACTGAATTTCTCGTCTCTCCCAATGTTTGGGACATTTCTTTGGAATAAGTTTGGCAGTTTCCTCAAACTTGTTGTAGTAGAACTACAGAGACTCTGGGGGAAAAGTTAAGCCTTTCCAAATGCCTTTTTCCTTTGGAAAAAAATCTTAAAATGAATTTAGCTCAGGTAAAAGGTGGTAGACTCACAGCTTTACAGCTCCAGTTTAGATTTTGTTGCCTTGTCCTGCCACTGCTCCTTAACCCTTAGGAACAAAGAGGCTGGTACAGTCCAACTGGCATCCCAGTTCATTTCCTTACATCTCTGAGGAGACGGCCTCTAAAGGGGGCATTGAAAAACCCTTGGTGACCGTGGAATCAGTGCATGAACACCAGGTTCCCCAGCGTTAACTGTGTGAATATCTGAGGCACAGCATCCCCTGAGTTTAAAGCAGCTAGACATTTTCGTGGAAGTAGAAAGAGTAGTAATGCTGGTCATGACAGTATAAGCACTTGGTGAAATCCAAATCAAATGTCATTTTTAAATTTAAAAATAATCATCATCACAATATTTAAATTTATATGATGTGCTTAAAAGCCCCAATTAACATAAAACATTGAAACAATATCATAAAACCAGAGCTAAGACTGCAGAAGATGGCACAAGGTCAAACTTAGAATATTCTGAAAAGGTCTCTGAATTCTTTTGTCCATGATCATTCAAAACAGTTGAATTATGTGCAACAATACCTCAGCCATGAAGGAAACTCTTTTAAGTGTGTCCATACATTTTTTATAAAAATATTATAGTAACCATATGTTCTCAGGGATTTTTTAAAAAAACATTTATACATGGAAGTCTAACACATTAAGCAGAAGGCTAAGCTAGAGCTCCCCTCCCTGTCCTTCCAGCCTTCCACAAGCAAGGTGCTTTTATCCGAGGAATCATAGAAGGGACCCCAAGAGTCATCTAGTCCAGCCCCCTGCAATGCAGGAATCTCAACTAGATCATCCATGACAGAGGCCATCCATTCATTCAAGCACATTTCCATATCTGGTATACCAAAGCATAGCAAACCCCCAAGTACTGTCACACATGTTTTGTTTTGATGTAGACCAGCTCTTTGTGGTAGTAATTTGATTTTGTTTCTTGGAAAGAGAATTCTCAGAAGCAGTGTCTCAGACCATATAAGACAGCATGATTTAAAGAATTAATAAAACCAATTTCCATTATGATGCAGTTTTGTGATAAATTCTGCCCATGAAATCCTGTCCACTGTAGTTATCAAACCATCAATAACCCTCAGAAAAATGGACTTTTAAAAGGAGATTGAATTTTCCCCTTCAGTATTTACAGTTAACTTTTAATGGGATGGTGATGTATAATAGCTGCCCAAGTCAGCTGATTAGAAATTAACCTATAGCTGTGGTTGCAAGTCCAGTCCCCAAACATGCATTATGGTGATAGGTGTGGGTTGAGCACAGTTTTATTGTGTATAAGTCAATGGCACAAACCAGTGTATTAATAGTCACTTTTGAGAAAATGAGGTATGACTGATATTGCAGAGCACAGACAGATAATCACGGTCATTCACTCAATAGTCGTCATTGAGATAACAGCTTCATTGAGGTAAACTTTCTCTAGTGAAAGGACTTCTCTCTTCAGTAGCACTATATTATTGATTCAGACTATAGCTTGGGAAGATCAAATCACCTCAGTGTATTCATTTGCATTCAGAGCACATTTGATATCCTGTTGGAAGCCATCCAGAGTGGCTGGGGAGGCCTGGCCAGATGGACGGGGTATAAGTAATAAGTTGTTGTTATTGTTGTTGTTGTTGTTGTTATAGTGCTTTGTTTGTGGGGACAGCAAGCAGCTCATGCACTGTGTGGTGTCTTCCACATGTTTTGGTCTATAGTTTGTACCAATCCCAGCCATCGTGACCAATGATCAGGAAATAGTGATGTGCCATATCTTTTCCCTTTTCTTTCCTTCCTTCCTTCAGCCATCCTTCCTTCCCCTTTTTGCTAGTTCGTAAAACTCTCATCAGTTCACCAACCAGTCTAAAGGCCATTTGTAAGGCTGTTTTAAAAGTCCTCAACAGACGTTGGGGCTGTGCAGTTCTGAAGCTGACATGATAAATGAAGCCTCGCTCATTCTCTGATGTATACAGGAGAGGCGTGTGGGTGTTAATGGGTACTTTCAGATGTATTCAGACACATTTTACAAGTGCAATGTTTAGGTATGCTGGTAGCACAGGATTATTATATTGCCAAATATAATTCATCCTGCTTCACCCTCAGAAAGGGTGGGCCAGGCAGGACACTTAACAAAAAAATTGTGTTATGTTGGAAAACTTGTATTTCAATCATTACAAAATGGCACCACATACAGGTAAGCAAATACCTTCACTCCTGCTCACCTCAAGTTCCCAGTTCTCAAAAAGGGTAGGGAAGTACTAAAACTGCACTGGACAGCAACACCTAGTGGGGAAACCTCCCTTGAACACCATCCACAAGAAAAGAAAGCATACACAATAATTTAGGCTACGTTATGATCTATAACAGCCTTTCTCAACCTGTGGGTCCCCAGATGTTGTTGAGCTACAACCCCCATCACCCCTAGCTATCAAGGCCAGAGCTCAGGGATGATGGGAGTTGTAGTCCAACAATATCTGGGGACCCACAGGTTGAGAGCCGCTGATCTATAAGAATGGCTTTTCCTAAAATCACATGGTACCATATTCTCCAATCCTTAACAGAGACTTGCACAAAACAAAATGCAATATGTTATCAAATGTCTATACAGGTGGCAACTATTTAGGCGCATCCAATTGCCGTGCAATCAATTGGACCCAGAAGAAGACAGAATGGGTGGAATGGGGGCAGAGCACAATGGGGAGGAGTACACTTATATGCCCTCCGCTGACACCTGTGGGGGCCAGAAACAGAACCCCCGTGTGAAATGGTTGTTGCCTGCATTACATTGCATGCACATTCTAATTTTCAGTGTCAAACACGGGGTATTTTCTTTCTTATTTTCATCATTTTCTTTTTTGTTATATTTGGGAGGGGGAATAAAGAAGAGACGAGAAAAGAAAAGAAAGCACTCCTGTGTAGGCAAATGTGCACAAAAGCACACATAGAAAAACTAGGCCTCTGCAACCCATGTACACTGACACAGTCCAGTGTATGCCCTGCCCTGGAGGCTATAGCAGGACAGAAGACCATTCCACTCCAGCATTTTGAGCCATTTGCATTGAAGAACTCTTCTTTGCAAAAACACCTTATTTGTTCTTGTGGAACCTTTTATTAAATGGAACTCCTTCATCAACTCTTACCCTTTTTCACACTGATTTAACAGTTCAGAGTAGTGATGGCATTTACCTCCCCAATTAAACTGGCACTTTCCATTTGTCTCCTGCTGTCGGCCATTAGGTTTGATAAGAGCTGGAAGGAAATAGTTTGTGTCAACAGCACTGGCAATTTTCTGTCTAAAGGTAAAGCTGTCCTTCAGTGGTCATACTAGGGGCATATAGAAAAATATCAGTGGCAGGTTTCTCTATTCAAGAAATGGTTAAGAGAAATTTCTTGAAAGGCATGTGTGCAGGGTTAGACTGCAAACTAGAAAGCCCTATACTTTTAAGAGCCCAGATTCATCACTGCTGAGGTGGTGGGATATAGACTGCACCCTCCCCTGTATTATTGCTAAGCAGTCAAACTTGTGTCAGCATTTGATCCTGAAATACCAAGCTGAGAGGAATTGGGTGCTCAGCCTGCACAGCAGCACCAAGCTTGAGTCAATGGAGGAAACTCCAGGGAAACTTGTCACAGTAGAAATGAAATCTCTTTACACTACTAAGCTAGAAGATGTCCTTGTAAAGCAAAAGTGGAGAAGCCGTGGTTCTCTGGATGTGGTTGGCCTGGCCATTGACCATGGGAATTGGGAGTCCAACAATATCTGGAGGGCCACAACTTCTTTATCCCTTGCTGTAAAGGCTTCAAAGTCAGTCTAGTTAAAGGTGTAAGTTTAATATGCACAAAATTCTATGTCTGAGTTCAGGGTATTTAAAAATGCCATGCAGATAGGTTTGCATTAGGTACAATAGGTTTACCTCTAGCAAAGGCATCAAAGAGAGGCTGGAGAAGGCTAGTTGATGACTCATCCCTGAAACCAAAGCAGAGATCTCTCACAGCAGAAAATGACACCTGAGAACGCAGGGTTTCAGTCAGTCATCGGGTTCAGCCACAGTAGGTGCTCAGCTCAAGATCTTGAACAAACAAGATGCTTGCTTGGGAATTCTCTTTCTGAGCAAAGTGAGGAAAGTTCTTGAACCATATTAAGGACAGAAAAGAAGACGGGACAGGATTGCTTCCTTGCTTAAGTTCAATGTGCTACAAATAAACATTACAAAATAGAAAGTAACTACAGTATTTTAAGACTGTTCTACAGTAAATCTTTGAAACTCATTCTTGTGAGGGAGAGCATTCATTTCTACTGTGCGTAAGGTCCAGATCAGGGATTCCGCTTGCAAGCACTCTAACAAGTCTGTCTTCCTCTTCTGATGGTAGAGATGGTGGTGTCTGATTTTCCCCGTCTCAAGCCGTGTGTGCTGAAGTTTCCCCACATTTTTTACTGACCATTCTCCATCAATTAGTGAGAAAATAAACTGTATTTGAAAATTATCAAAGGAGAGGGAAATGATGATGACTTTTTTATTGGTGGGGTGCAGGACTTTCCTTATTTTGGGTCAACCAAGGGGTGTTTGTGAGTCTTATTTCTTATGCCTACATTGTCTGACTAGAATATAAATGTCTGGATTTTTATCTGTCCCTTAAAGACTTTAAAAAATTGGTCCCTCCCCTTTTCAGCTGCTTTTAACTTTGTCATGTATTTGTTTATGGATTGTATTTGATTGGTAACTAGTTTTTATATTAAGTGTTGTCAGCCACTTTGTGAAGGCTTAAAGGTAAAGGGACCCCTGACCAT